AAATACTCTTTTCAATATGCCTCCCACCCCCAGATTATAGAGTAACCAAAGATGGGCTGAGGGCAGGGGCAGACATTTAATCCAACTCACACACGGTTGTGAAGAGTTCCTTAGTCTGGTGACAGGGAACAAAAGGCTGGTTCTTCAGTTCCCAGAATGAGGATTAGCAATGGAATAACCTTGCTGGGTATTGTCCTACAACATCAGGTCATTTTTTTTTTTTTTATCAAGGCTTTTCATAGGATGATGTGTTCCAATGTATAGTGTGTCTTGTTCGGTTGTTGGTGAAATACTTACCATTTATATGTAATATTAAAAGTGGCCTTGTAAGAATGAAAAGCTAGAAACCCAGACATGACCTATTGTTATCCTATGGGTCAACCACCCGTGGGCTCATCTGTGTTGCGGCTTATCTCCAGAAATCATATTATGGATAAGTTGTTCTTGCCTGTCTCTCACTCCCTCCAAACGGATTAGAACTGTTTAGGTGTAGTAATCTGTCGAAGGGGATCCTTCTTAGATGTGTCCTTGTGAATTAATGCATTTATGTGACCAGTTTTTTCCTTCATGTAACACTTTCATTCTGAGTCATTTCCTATGGCACTCGCTTACAGTGGGATACCATGAATAGATTGTAAGGAAAATTAGGCATCAAACGGAAAATTATGTAAGAATATAAAAGTATTAGATTTAGAATTATATAGATATTTGTTCATCATCCTCCCTCCTGCATTAATTTTTTTCCTTTATCCTTCATGAGGCAGCAAGATAAAGAACAGTTGAATAAATCAGCAAAAGATTGATCTTTAAAAATAAGTGGAAACAGCTTATATTTTCTGCTTGGCTTTGAGTTTTTCAAGGGCAACAGAAAAAGCAAGTGACTCCTTTATTGATTGCCCATTGGTGTCATTTTTAATAATCAAATTTAAATATAGGTTTTTAACAGCTGATGGGTTCAATTTGGACAGAACACGTGTTGACTTTCCGGATTGTTTGCTCACTGTAGACGCCGACTTGTTCTAGAGAAGGGGCTGTGAGTTGAGCTCCTTTGTCTTTAGAAGGATTGATTGACGGATGTTGTGTCTGCTCATTTACAGCATTTTTCTTGCTTAATTTAAAAAATTGTGACATAGTATTACATGTTCCTTGTATACATCATTTTTACAGAAGAAAGTTGTTTAGCCAATATGTCGAGTTCGTTTATGAAATCCTCTCTTGTAGCTTTCATTCAGCCTTCAGTGTAGCCTATTAGGTCATATTATTCGTTTCATGCACGGCAAATCGTCACCAGCAGCAAAATTTAACATTTGGTCCTTTTAGGTATAAAAATGAATCAAATGCTTGACAAGATTTGTTTCTGGTGTATATTTCAGAGCCCCCCCCCACCCCCTTGGTGGGCAGACGACAAATGTTACTAACGGGTACTTTTAGTTTTTAAAATATGGACAACAGTACTCCATGCAGTAAAAGACTTGAGCGATTAATGCTACCCTTATGCCTCTTTTGAGTACTGTTAGCCATGGGGCTTGGCACTGCCACCGTTGTCTTGGTGCCAGAAAATATCCGCAGCGGCTGTCGCATTCTAGTACCGGAGGCTTGTCTCGAAAATTCCGCAGTGAACGCGCCGGGTTTGTTCATCACTGCTATCTCTTTTAAATATTGGAAAAATAGAACCTTGAGCTCTTTCAAAGCTCCGTTGTGATCGTGGGGATGAGGGGGGAGGTCGGTGGCGAAGAATGGAGGAAAGAAGCTGTCCGCGCCAGCCAGTGGGTATAAGTGACAAAAAATCCATGCCTGGCATAGAGTAAACACACATATTTAGGAGCTTTTGTGTTCACGAGCACAGATAGTTACTTAAGGATCCTACTTAAACATGTTATCAGCACTCTTGAGAATTTTATTATCTGAAACAAATGTTCCTGAGCATTTTAAGCAGAAGACTGACATCAAGATCATAGCTAATTTTTAGCGGACTGTTTATACAAAAGATGTATATATATTTTTCTCCCTGGAAGTGAGGTGCCATTGTAAAATGGCTGCTTTTTGTCATTAGGAAATTAGTGGAGTAGATAAGATAGGCTTGAGAAGGTGCTTGGGTTTACCCACAGTCCATGTCCCTGATTGTTCTGCTCCCAGACAGGGATTTGGGCTCTGAGGACAGATTTATAGTCGATTTTGGGAACAAAAAGATGTAATAAAGTTAAAGGTTTACACTGTCAGAATGACATGCGTTCGCTCAGGATCTCTGGAGCGATCTATTTGATGGTAAAAGTGGATGCCACAGATGAAATCTTTACAAGGAATATAATCCTTAAAAAAAAAAAAAGGGGGAAAAAAAAGTGCACCTCCCAGCCTCCTGCTGGCTGCGCTGCCTCTTCGGTACCTCACAGACTTCGACAGAGTCCTGGACGGGTGCCCACTGATGTCATGGAAACACTCAAATTACTGAGAATGATTCATGTCTATGCTAGTCTCTTGTCCTCCCCCACACAAACAGGAGTAGATTTTTAACCCTGACAACTTGTAATTTGCAGTGGGTTTATTTTTGTATCTGGATAAATATTTTTTAACAAGCAAAATTAAGATTAAGCAGTCTGTATCTGATATGATAGTAAAGAATGCTGGGTCCGTGCAGCCAAGAGCACTTTGGGGACTCTGCCGCCTGCGTCCCTGCTCCGCTCTTCCCCGCCTCTGCTCTCTGCCCGCCCCTGCACTTTCCAGTCCACTCTCCCTCCCTTCATCTTCCTCTTTTCCTCTCTCTCCTCTTCCCTGTTTATCTATTCACATTCTCTTTCTCTCTCACATCCTTACTATTTGCATGGACCCCCCTCTCTACCTTTAAAAGAATGAAAGGAATGTACCTAACTTTATATACGTGTGTGTGTGTGTGTGTGTGTATGTATGTATATATATATGTGTGTGTATATATATATATATATATGAATTGAGACAAGTCCTGGTAGGAAAATTCATCTCTACAGGTCTATATGCGGGAGTCAACTTGGGAAATAATGCCAGGTGGTGAAATTCTGTAGGGGATAGCTTCAGTAACTCCTTTTAGAGAAAGCAATAGATCACCTTTCTTCCTTCCAGTATCTGGAAGTCACCAGAACAGGACACTAGATACTTAGTTTCCTTGGAAGTCAGAGTAAATTCTACCTTATCTCTCTCTCTTTCTGTCTCTCTGTTTGCATGTCTGCCTGCCTCTCTACTTGTCTTTCTAGTTGCTGTTATGTCAAAGTGAATCATGTCCTGGTTGTATTAAAGCTTTGTAGATGTGAGAGCTTAAGGAAGGACAGACATCATTTGATAACTCAAGTTTTTTTTTTTTTGTTGTTAGTAATATGTATAAAGAGAAGTTAAAGACTGTAAGTAGCTTCCATCTAACACAGAAGAATAAATAGGTCTTTGTGACCATTTGTATTTCTAAAGCAGGCAAGTGAATCTCTTCTTCAATGTAAAATCCTCATACAATGAAAGTTATTCTCTTAGACCTCCCAGGACTGAATCTGTGAGTTGGTGTCCTGTTTCATTGGACTGAAACTGATATGGTCATTGATTTTCTGCTTTGCGCTGAATACTTTGCCAGAAGTTGGGTGGCGGGAGTGTGTCCCCAAGTTTGAGATTGATTGGAGTCAGTGGAAAAGTTAATACTGATGGGAAAGAGGATTGATGTTAAGACTCAGGTTTGGCTTCCTTCAAAAATCATCTTCAGTTTTATGTCTGTAGTGACTCACATACAGGGTGAGCTTTTGACTAGTTTTAAGATTTATCAAAGGCACATTCCTTGTGTGGTGTCAGGAAGGCATGCCCTCGTAGCATTGTCATTGAACTCAGAGATTACAGGTGAACACTGCTGCTTGTAACGTTTATGTTAACTTGAGTCAAGGGGGAAGAACTTGGGTGTTGTGAACTTTGAAGGATCCATCCAGCCTCTCAAAATACTCGTGTTGAATTTTCCCATTGAAAGAAAGAATAGTAGAGTCCTGGGTAAAGAGGACAATGTACCATAAGCTCTAGTCTCAAAGGAAGAACGCATCCTTCTGTCTTGGACGGGGTGGGGTTTGTGTTGTGGGCGGGACAAGCCCTTTTTAATGTCCTAGTGTGGACTGTTCTCTGTAACAATTCTTTATGTGTCGCTAGGTATGTTCTACTGGTTGGATCTCTTGTCAGGTGTTTTCATTGTTCTCCTGACGATTAAGGCTCAACATACTTTTTAAAAGAAACAAATGAGCTGCCTTGATTTTTACCCTTAGATATGGCTCTGTACATCTCTGTAGAGAGTCTTCAGATAAAAAATTGGAGTGTTAGAATCAGAACAAGACACTGATGTTCCGTTATCCCTCGTTCTGCTGGGTCTACTGGTGGAATCTGAAGTTGGGCTCAGAGTGGGCAATTTTTCAACAGTCCTCTTTCCCAAATGTAAATTCCATCATCATCTTGATCATGATGGTCTTTACTCCTGGGAAAGGGAGTTTAAATAAGAGAGAGAGAGAGGAAGGGAGACCCAGAATTTTGAATAGTTTCTTTGCTTTAGTCACCATCTGGAGAGTCCTGATTGATTAGCTTTGGCCTCACCATTAAGTGTCAATGTAATCAATGGGAATGACTAGGCCAGGGTCATTACATGGATAATATCTGCCTGCTGTGTAAATAAAAATGAAATTGTTTAAATTTTGTGAGCGAGAAAGAAAGTGAAAATAAGGAATGACAATTTGTTTGTTAGAGAAAGTGGAGGCCATTGGAATGACAGTTTTTGGAAGTGTGGAGCAGTTTGGCTAAGAATAGGAATGAAGGATATTTTTTTTCCAGTTTATCATAGCCAGCGTGGGGAAGTGTTATTCTCTGCCTTGCTTGCATACACTGCCAATAGTGCCTACTTTTCGTATGTAAACATCGGGGAAGAGAAGTGGATGTCTGTTACCTGAAGGAGATTTTTATTTTTTTTTTAAGGAAAAACACAATTTACACTTTTTTGTTGTTGTTGTTTCTCTTGGCAGGTAAAACAGAAAGGGGCTCCTACCCATCTTATGGGAGAGAATCGAATTTACAGGGTTGCCACCAGGTAAGTGAGAATCTCTTTGGAGAAGGGTTGAGAGGATGAGCCTTGGTGAATCAGTGTGTTTTGTAAATTAGGTGATGCATTTGAGGCTGGGGCACTGAGGCACCGAAAATCTTCGGATGCCTGACTCTTTTGCAAAGTAATGAAATAGCACCGAGCGCGGAAGTCATAAACACCTCATCGTATCAGCACTGTATTCACTGGCTTGTTGTTATTTTTTTTTCATCCATCAGCCGGTACCAGTGGCACTGTTTGCAAACCAGCGATGTCGGGGAAAGTGGTTCTATCAAAAGAGTTTATTTGCAATTAAGAACTTGAGAATTTCTTACACTGCAAATGCTTCGTGAAGCCATGTGTCAGATCCTGGGTTTTGGGTGGCTACTGCCCTAAATTATAGTTTTCATAGGGGCTGTAGGATGTTGTGTGAAAACAGGGTTGTATTGAGGGATAAAAATGTCTGTGAAAATATGATTTGTTGTCCCTTTTTGTTTCTGAATTGTTTTTGGCTGAAAGTCAAGGCCAGCAGGCTAACAGCAAAGCCGTCTCAAGGGAGGCATGCGTGAGCTAGAAAAATAAGAGTACTTTAATTAAATAATAAAATGCCAGTGTCATACAAAGGTATAGCGTGTGTGTGTGTGTCTCTGGGCTTTGTGCATTTGCATACTTTCAACTCTCCAGAGAAAGCCCAGTTCTAAAAATACTATCCATAGCCAAAAGTGTAAGCTTTGTTTCAAGACAATTGAGTTTTTATAGATGCTTTGTTTTTAATTTCAGTATCGGTACTAATCACATGTTTCATATCTTTTTCGCCTTGAAAGATTTAACTTTCTTTTTCTAAGGGCATTGCTTTCTTACTTTGGAAAACTCTTGATAGAATTTAATGGTTCTCTTTCAGATTCAAAGCTTTCTAGCCTTACATTATTCACCCAAACAGAAATGTACATTCTTTTTGTGTTGGGAGGGGAATGCTTCTTCTCCTGAACCCTCTCACTCTCTCACCCTCCCGTTTTCTTTAATGATGGGGTGGGGGGAGGAATTACATTTTGCTTTTTTTTTTTTTCAAACAACCTGTTTCACGGATCCTGGAAAATGTAAGCAGACAGTTTTAGTCATTAAATAGAGCCTGCTTGAGGAGGTGGCCTTTAGGTATCCGTCATAGGTTCCGAAAGGTGGAATTCTGGTGGAGTCCTGTGTGTTTTGGTTTTTTTCCCTTCCTTCTGGAGAGATTTGCATTTTTAAAGTTTACTTCTTTGGCCCAGCCACCCGTTCAGTCCTCCTCGGCATCTGAGAGGTTTGCTGTGATGAGGTGAACGGTGCTGGTTTAAGATCTCCCTGCTGCACACGCTGCCTCGTACAGTTGACGGCAGTTTGTTTGGAAAGAATTCTGCAGGAAAGAAATTTACAGCCGTTCCAGCGCGACGGAAACATCTTTGGAATGTGAGTGCAAATGTGCCGGGGTAGATAGCTCGGGCAGAGAGCCTCGAAGCGGAGTCTCTGGTGTAAAGCTCTCAATTCCCGCAGAAGAGCCTGTTCCTGTGTATCTGGTTTCTGAGGGTCAAAGCAGAGGTCGTTTGAGTTTTGGGGAGAAGAAAGTTGACAACATCCTTCCTTTTCGCAGATGGTCATGGCAGAGGTCTCTGTTTTCGCCCGGCCTCTTTTTCTGGTCAACGAGAGAATAGACTTCCTCGCCCCTGTATCCTTTCTTCCTAATAGGAATTGGCGTGATTCCTCCCAGACACAAAGATTTCCTCTGCTGAGTAAGCGCGAGGCCCCTTAACTTGTGAAAGCGTCACTCAGACCGCGTGAGTCTGTCAGTGTGTGTGTGCCGGGACACAGACCCTCCCTCGGTTTGTGGGCAGTACTGCCCTCGGGTGCGACTGAAGCTCGTTTTTTTGGGCAAACGCAAGGTGAGAAGTGGCAAGGGGCAGAGGGTGGATCAGAGGTGGACAGACTGGTGTGTGATGGCTGAATGTCTGGCCTGGGGAATGTCTCCTTCTGAGACGTTCGTGTCCAGGAGAATTCTGTTGTATATAGGAGCGCGGCTGCATCTGCTTTTCTTGAGAAAGTCTTCATAATCTATCCGTGGGGTGTGGAGATTTCTTTCATTCTGATTTCTGCTTCCTGGTTGTGAGTCTCGCAAGGACCGACTCTCTCTGTTCAGCTTGGGCTCAGCAGTGGCCATAAACGGTGTTGATCACTTAAGGAGAAAGCAAAGAGCACAATTTTGGAAATTCCCCAATTGAGGAAATCGGGGTTGGAGAGGGAGAGGGGGGCATATTTATGAATTTCTGCTTTCGGTGAAATTTGAGAATAGAACAGACCCTAGTGTGTCTTCCGGTGAAAATGAGTTTCTCTTGCGCCGAATTGCTTTTTGAATTCCTGTTCTCCAACACCAGCTATGCAAACCCCAAAGAGAGGCAGACTCTCCGTGTCTTGGGCTTCAAGTCTAAATAGCAGATCACAGCTGAAACGATTCCCCACTGTGTGGCAAGGTGAGTGACTCGTGGAGAGAGAGTTTGTAGTTCTCTCCTGCTTCCTACCTTAGAGAGGTGCTGGATGGAAATCCTTTAACTGATATGCCCCGAGGATCTCCCCAAACTGCTTTGTCGTATTATAACCCTGCATCCTGTGGACTTACTGGGATAAGCACTGTTATAGATGAACATACTTATTTAGTTCCAGTAGCCTTTTGTTTGGTCACCCTGTGGACTTACAGAAATAACCCCTGATATAGATGAACATGCTTCAGTTCTGGTAGCCTTTTGTTTTGTGCAGAGAAATAGCAGTGGTAAGCAACAGGTAGCCAAATGCTGTCTTGGAGAAATAAATCATTGGTATTTTGAGATGTGTGTTGTTTCAGAATGCATCAGGTTAATATATATATGTTTATGTATATATATGTATATGTATATATCCATTATGTGTCTCTTGAGGATGTACCACTGACAGTGATAGACATGGGACTTTTAAAAAGTGGGTGTTTTAGCCGAGACACAAAAGCTGGCAGGTTCTTTATTAGCGATTAAATTGTTTTAATTAAAAATAGTAGTGGGATAATATGAATTCATGAATGCATTTTCACTGAAAATGATCAGAAACGAAGCCAGTAACTTTTTCAGCCTTTTGAAATTGTACAGAACATAAACCCATAGAAACCAAAGCGGCCAAATGGACTTTTTTTAGTTCTCACTAAATATGGCAAAACTAATTTCAATCAAATTGGGGTACGGAAACTACACCCAGGCTTAAAATGTTTTTGCCAAATTGCAACCTCATACTACTTTTTTTTTTAACTGAAAGAGAAAATGTAATTTATAATGGAAAGTCTGACAGAAATGAAATGAGAGGAAGTAAAGTTGTTTGCAGGATAGTCTGATCTTCATACGATAGCCTGTAGCTAGTACCTGATGGACATCACTGTGCATGACGAAAGGAAAAAAATGTCATTTGCTTTCGGCCTATTTTGCTGCTTTGAATAGGATGTTTGGTGATTGCAAACCTTTTTTTTTTTTTTTTTAAATCTTCCTGAGATCTTTTTTTTTAATGAGGTGGTGATGTCAACACAAATACTTGTTACTAAGGCAGAGGTTATCCCCTTAAATGGAAGTGGGGCATTGATTATCAGGAAGCGTTTGTCTTGTCTTTCTAGGAGATAGCCCAAGTCTAAAGCGATGGTTTTATTATTAATATCTTCTGGCAAGATTGTGTGTGTGTGTGTGTGTGTGTGTGTATGTGTATAATATAAGGAGAGCTGGGCCCTATCTGAGACCAATTAAACTCGCATCTTCTGAGCTGGGCCTTTGCGTTTCTGACAACTCCCCAGGTGATTCTAATGTGCAGCTAACTCTGATGATTTCCTAGAATGTTCTGTAGGAATCTACTGTGTTTAGAAGATTTGTGTTCAAAAATCTAGTGTAGCTGCTGACCCTAACAAAGCTTTTAGATTTGTTGCCTTAATTTAATTATTCAAGACATGGGATTGTATTGCATATGTACTTTATTTAAAAGGCAGTGAAAATGAGGGGTATTCTGAACACCAGGAAGATGCCTTGAAATCTTCATACAAAATCCCACAACTGAATATGCGAGCCTGTGTCTTGTTTTCTCTAGTGAAGCCCAAGGCTCTAACCTTATCCACATTCTTTTTCTTTCTCAGCAGGTAATCAAATAGCACTATGCCGATAAAGTTATTTGATGTTTAGTTCTTAAAACTGATGGGATTTAAGAATTAGGCCTAATCTCAGATCCTTTTGTTAAGTTCCAGAAACTTTGCAGCTATAGAAGACATGGGTCTTCTCTGTATGTGATTTAGCTTGCTCATAAAGAGTCGTTTTAGATTCACTGAAATTAAATGTACGTATTACACATTTAAGAATGGATTTTCTCCTTTCAGTTCTTTTTATTTTTGATACATAAAGAATCACAGTAAAAATGGAAAGGATATACACAGAAAAGACATGAGATCCTTTATCTCTTCTTATGAAAATGGCTTTTAGGTCCTGTGCAAGCAGAAATACATCTTGGTTTTTAACTTTACATTATGGTTAAATGTTTGGTTATAGCCTGCCCTCATCTGTACCTGGTTCTCTGCACCCTTCCTAGGAACCTCTTCCATCCATGTACTATCTTGGTGCTCAGCTTTGCCTTCATGGTGCTTTTCGAATGTGCCATTATTGATGTTTGTGGAATGGTGGTTTCTACCAGATTCTGTAAACTCCTGAAGTTAGGGGCCAGGTTGGCTCCATCCGGCCCAGTGTGAACTCTGTATCTGGCAGGGTGGGGATTGTGATGGCCTGAGGCTTATTTCCCGGCATCACTTTGGGGATCATTTTGAGAGGGTGAAGTCTGAATAGTCCTGTGTGAGAACCATATAGTGAGCAGCGTTTTCCTGCTTCGGAAAACCAGAAAAATCATACCCTCTCAAAGAAGGTATGGGGCTCTTTTGGGAGCCCTTCCTTCGACCATGCTGTGCAAACTCTGGAATGACATAGAAGGTCAGATCC